GGATGGATTGGATGGATGGGATGGGACGGGATGAGTGGGATGGGACAGGATGGATGGGACGGACGGGATGGGGCGGGACGGATGGGACGGGATGGGACGGGACGGATGGGACGGGATGGGATGGGATGGATGGGACGGGATAGATGGGATGGGACAGGACAGATGGGATGGGACAGGATGGACAGGACAAAACAGATGGGACAGGATGGGATGGATGAGACGGGATGGGACAGACGGGACAGGATAGATGAGATGGAACAGGGTGGATGGGATGGATGGGGCAGGACAGATGATACGGGATCACAGAATCACAGAATCACAGAATCGTTTAGGTTGGATGGGACCTCTGGAGATCATCTAGTCCAACCTCCCTGTTCAAGCAGGGTCACCTAGAGCATATTGCCCAGGATCCCATCCATGGGATGGGATGGATGGGATGGACAGGACGGGACAGGATGGGATAGATGGGACGGGATAGATGGGATGGCACAGGATGGATGGGATGGATGGGATGGGACAGGATGGACAGGACGAGACAGATGGGACAGGACGGGATGGACGGGATGGGACAGGACAGGACGGATGGGACAAGACAGACGGGATGGGACAGGATGGATAGGATTGGGTGGATGGGATGGATGGGAGAACACAGATGGGACAGGACGGGATGGATGGGACAGGACAGGACAGAGAGGGTGAGACATATGGGATAGGATGGGATGGACGGGATGGGATAGGATTGACAGGACAAGACAGAGGGGACAGGACAGGATGGATGGGACAGGATGGGATGGATGCGACAAGACAGGATGGGGTAGGACGAGATGGATGGGATGGGATGGGACGGGATGGGATGGGACAGGACAGGATGGATGGGATGGGATAGATGGGATGGATGGGACAGGACGGGATGGGACAGATGGGACAGGACGAGATGGACGGGATGGGACGGGATGGGACGGGATGGATGGGATAGGACAGGATGGGGCAGGACGAGGGGTGGAGAGGGATGGGATGGGATGGGACAGGACAGGATGGATGGGATGGGATAGATGGGATGAATGGGACAGGACGGGATGGGACAGATGGGACAGGACGAGATGGACGGGATGGGATGGGATGGGACGGGATGGGACGGGATGGATGGGATAGGACAGGATGGGGCAGGACGAGATGGATGGGATGGGATGGGACAGGACAGGATGGATGGGATGGGATAGATGGGATGGATGGGACAGGACGGGATGGGACAGATGGGACAGGACGAGATGGACGGGATGGGACGGGACGGGACGGGATGGATGGGATAGGACAGGATGGGGCAGGACGAGATGGACGGGATGGGATGGGATGGATGGGATAGGACAGGATGGACAGGACAAGACAGAGGGGACAGGATGGGATGGATGAGACGGGCCAGGCCGGGCCGGGCCGGGGCCGGTGGGTGC